CTACTATTACTGTTAATAAGTATTAATAAAACAAATAATATAGCACTTAACATTTATTACTTACTATGATCCAGGCACTGTACTAAGCATTTTATATGCAGTCTCATCTAATCCCCTTGACAACCCTCTAAAGAAATGAAATGGATATTCTAAAGAAATGAAAAGGTTCAGAGTTGAGGGCTCTGCCTAGGGTCACAGTGGTAGAGGCAATAAACTCTGAATGTACAGCCCATGCTCTGACTGCTCTGTGCTTTGCTGCAGCTACATGTACACTTTTGATAGATACCAATTAGTTTCCATAAGGTTTTAAACAGACACACAGACACAGAGACACACACACACACAAAGCACCCCTTTCCCCAGTAGTTGCCAACACGGACTATTATCCATCTTTGAAGTTTTTGTTAACTAATTGGGAAAAAAGGCATTTTTTTTTTTTGGTCACACCACGAGGCATGTGGGATCTTAGTTCCTCAACCAGAGATCGAGGAACACTCCCTACACTGGAAGCAGAAGTTTTAGCCACTGGAACACCAGGGAAGTCCCTTGTTTTAAGAAGGTTGGACATCTCTGAATCTATTCATTGGTCATTTGCAGTTTTCTTCTGTGAACTGTTTTTCATATCCTTTGCCCATTTTGAATTAGATATTTATCTTATTGATTTGTAGGTAGCACTTATATTCTGGATATTATATTAATATTTGGAGTATAAGGAAATAAAGACAATTAGCAGTCTTTATAAAAAATTAAATCACTGCTTCATACCTTATACCAAAGCAAATTCCAGACAGATTAAAAATAATGAGATCATAAAAGCATAATTCTTTCTTATGGCAGTGGGTCAGTTTCTTGAAATTAAGTTAATAAAATTATAGATTTATGTTGAGGAAAAAATAATCTGATAGGCAGAATAGTGCATTACAGCCTACACTACAAAACTAGTATAAGGCTTTCCATGACAAATCTATGTCACTGACTGTAACTCAAAGTATTAATAACTATCTTTGACAATTATGAACATGATAAATTTATTCAGTTTAAAAAGTTTCAAAATAATACCTATGATTCCATTTAATAAAAGGAAATAACAATAAACATTAGCTACACTAGAAGACTATATTAAAATATTAACAAAGGTCATATCTAGGTAGCTGGAGTCTGTAAAAGAAAAATTAAAATACTATTTTAAAAAATGCATTGCTTTATAAGATATCCCTTCTAAACAGACACAAAAATGGTTAGGCTTCTGAAGGGTCTGTGACTCATTCATTTTTATGTCCTTTAAGTGCACAGTGCCCTGTTCAGAAATCGCCCAACAGATATTTATTGAATGAATAAAATACGGAATGCAGAATTCACAAACAAAATCTCCATATTAGCTACTTAAATACTCAAATTCAAAACCTTGCAGGAGAATCACATTTGTTCCCCAAGTCATATTTCATTCACAACTTTAGTTCCTAATGTGTATGAGCTAAAAGCAGGTGGTGTGGAAGTGATGTGAAAAAGAAATCTTGGGAATTCCCTGGTGGTCCACTGGTTAAGGGCTCTGAGCTTCTACTGCAGGGTGCATGGGTTTGATCTCTGGTCGGGGAACTGAGATTCCGCAAGGCTGAGCAGCCAAAAAAATTTTTTTTAATATTTTATTTTTGAAAAATCTTATGACAAATATAAAGCTCATGTTGGATTCTCTCAGACACAAAGACTATGCCTGATTTATCAAGTATGTTATTCATACTTACTGAGTATCTATTATGAGCACATGGGCAAAGTTCTGTTTGTATAAAGAGTACATGAATATTTATAGGGAACTTATATGACTTAAAACACATAAGTCTGTGACATATCAATCCTCTTGTAAACTATACTAAATCATGCTATAAAACTATATTAAACCAATGCATACAGGAAAGGAATGGGAAGAGCTAAATGGATCAGTGAAACAGAAATATTCCAAAAATACACCCAGGTCTTATGGAGACTTAGTACATGACAAAGATAGCTTTCAAAACAGCAGGGAAAGGATGGTCCAACTACTTGGTAAATGGTAGTGGACAACTGTCTATCCAAATAGCAGAGGAAGTTAGATTTCTACCCCATACCATATGTATAAATACATTTCAGGTAGATTAAAGAGCTAAACATTGAAAAGAGAAAAAACATAGGAGGTTATTTTCTAACAGTAAGATAAGGAAGGTATTTGTAAATAAGACATAAAATTCAAAAGCCATGTGAAAAACATTGATGAATTTGAAGTTATAGTATTAAATTTCTGTTCAACAACAAAAAAGTAAAATGTCGAGAGAAAACACTGGCAATATGTAATATATACAAAGGATTGATATTACAATAAAGAACACCTATAAAGCAATAAGGAAAATATGCGACTCAATAGTAAAATGGGCAAAAAACAAAATCAACAAACAATTCATAGAAAAAGAAATGGCCAAACAGAAGATTTTGTGACTTCTTCTAATAACAATGACAATGATAATAGCTGATACAATGTGCTTACAGGCATCAGGTGCTTGGCTAAATGCTTTAGATATCGACTCATTTAATTCTCACAACAACTCTAGGAGATAAGGTACTATTTTTATCCTTTTTTACCTGCTGAGGACATTGCAGCAGCAGTTAAAAGAAACTCCTCAGGGACACACAACCTAAGCTGGAACTCCACTGCAGACAGTAAAGCTCTCAAGCCAGCATATCTCTTAACCACTATGCTGTTACCTCTCCAGAGATAGCAGTATCAGGGAAACACAAGTTAACACAAGATGTCATCTACTGTTCAGACAAAAAGAAAAAAACCAACACAGTCAGTGTGGAAAATGAGTACTATCAACATTGTTGGCAGGAGAATAAAATGGTGATTTCTTTTTGTAGAAATGACTCTTCTTACAGAAAAAGATACTTGGAACAATTTATCCAATAAAAGGTGGATAACAGTCAGGTAGTTTCTTATTAAAACATTAATTTTATTTTTCCCTGAAGGTAGTAACAAATCCTAGAACTCTTTCCTTTTCTCTTAATTCTCAGATGCGAATAAAAGCTACCAGAGGATGATATTCTGTTGTTTCCATGCTAACTTTTCTTGGTGGCTGCTCCCCATGTGATTTAATCAGCACCGGTCAAATTTTCCCTGAAAGCCTGTTTTGTGATGCACTAAACAACACAGCTTCTACTTTCTATTCTTTTCCATATTTGTCCTTAGCCTCTTTCTCAAGAGCCAAAGTTTCTCTTGAACAACATTCAAGAACCAAGACTGAAGGTGAGAAGCTCAAACTTTCCCTTTTTGGTTTGTTTAAAGCCATTAAAAAGACCCTTTCTTATTGTCACAACATGTTAACTCCAATCAGATAAAAACATGACTTCTGAAATCTCTCAATTCTTCATAGTCTTCAGTTTACCATTTACAGCATAAATGTTAAGTAACAATATAAATTACTTAAGGGAAAAATAAAATCCATGTCATAGCTTTTGTAACACTTCAGCCATTCCTATCTATAGGCACTATTAGGAAGAGGAACAGGGGAAGGTACATGAAGCTATTAATACATAAAAGAGGCTGTTAGGAAACTTCACTGCATAAAAGTACTGAAAGTTTATCATGAATGGCAGTAAGCTTAGGTGATAATGCCTTCCCTTAAAAAGAAAAAAAGCAAAGGAGGTCAGTTCCCCTTTGAAAAACTTAATTTGTACCTCCAAAACCTCCTGTTAAACTTTTTTGCTGTTGGGTTCTAAAACTTACTACCAACTTGGTTTCTGATTATGACAAGGCAATGAAAATTTGCAGGGGTGAAATGGACACTGTGGAAACAGTCAGCTCAGAGAACCGTGCCTGACTAAATCTCCAGGGGAGAAGCCCTACAGGGATGAATATATTTTCACTAAGTGAAGAATGTTCCATATTGTAAACATAGGATGTAAGAAGAGATTAAGGTCAGCAGGAAAATGTGAGATTGGAACGGACAAGATTGCACTTTTTCCATGTGCATCAAATGGTCAAAGATGAACACTCCATTTAAACACAGTTTGACTAGGGTAAGGAGAGAAGGTAGTACCCGCAGCACCACAACAGGTCCGAGACAATGATTTCTACACCCTACTAAACCCTACAGTGTCCCCAACATAATCAAATAATTGCTGGACAGTTCCAGAGCGTCTACACCTTAACCACACAAACTCGTGCGAGCAGACACACCTTCGCCAGCAGTCCCAGTGCAAAATCAAAACGCCTCAAGGCATCTCACGCACACATCTAGGGTCCTCATTTCGCTGGAAAGAGAACTGAGGAGATGAGGGAGAAGCAGCGACCGTCCAACGCCTCCAAGGGCCAAGACAGAGTTAAGATGAGGTCCATCTCGGACTTCTCACTCCCAACCTTCCTCCGCTCCAGCTCTGGAAGGAGCCACAAGTGAGGAAGAGAAGTTGTGGAAACGAGAAGGGGAGTGGCGGGGGGTGGGGGGCGGGGCGGGGTTGGGGGGTGCAGAGTGGGACGCGAGAACCGCGCTCGTATTGAGAATTCAACACCAGCATCTGTATTTGTCCCACACAAGGTCACTCGCTCCAAGTCACTTTCCCCCTGCTGTCCGGTGGGCTTCCCGCCAGAAAAGCTGCTGGGTTTCGAGGCCAGCCCACCGCGCCCCCTTGGCCCAGCCTTACGGGCCGCAACCCCTTCCTGGCCTCCCTTCTCGGACCCAAGCGCGCCTCCCCGACTCCGGTTTCAGACGCCCGGAGCCTCTTCCAGCCCCATTCGGCGGCTCCTCTGCCTCTACCCACGGGGCTCCCATCAACGTCCCCTCCTTCACTCCGGACGCCCCTTTCCCCGCCTCCCGCGCCGGGTCCCGCCGGGGGCCCCCGGCCACCGTTCCTTTCCTCCTTTCCCGCCACCCTTTCCCCGGGTGTCCACCTGGCGCGGCCCCCGCCCCCGGCCCGTCTCCTCAGCGAGCGGCCGCCTCCCGAGTCCTCCCGGCCCCGCCCCGCTCCCGGGCGGATACAGTTTGAAGCCCCTCAGGATCTCCCTGGCACGCTCGTCCTTGGCTGACATGATGCGGCGGCTGCCGCCTGCGGCTCTCTCACGCTGGCCTGGCGGAGCCTCGCAGACAGTGCCCAGGAACGGAGGACGGAACCGCAGCCCGGCCTGAAGACCTCGGGCGAACAGCGGCAGCAACCAAACCCAGACCGGCCTCTCCCTCCCCTCAGCTCCCGCTCCTGATCCCTTCTCCTTCTCTCTAGCTTCTGAGCGCCCGCCCTAAAGCCAATAGAAAGCCCGCCTCGGCGATTGGCATCTTGATGGACCAATAGAAACACTCAGCGGCTTCGCAGGGGGACGGAGAGCGTCAATGGGAAGGGCCCTCACAGGGAAGTCCCGTAGGACAAAATTTTCATTCGGTGTGGTTGCCTAGAGCTTGTCCCAGAGGAGAATTTGCTTCAGATTTGCAGAGGCACTCCTGCGGCTGGGTACAGTAGGGCTTTGAGATGACAGCAGGTTGCCCTGTGCGATGTGGTGGAGACTACACTTCCCAGCATTCCAGGGGGCGCCCAGGAGGACCACAGATCCCAGCACGCAACAGAAAGCCCAGGGACTACAAATCCCAGCATTCCCCGCACTCAGTTCCTCTAACTTCGATTCCAGTGTGCCGCGCAGTGTGCGCAAATCCATAAATCTGCTTGTAGGCTTGGTGGTTTCTGAATCCCAGGGGTTGAAACCAGGCGGGAACATCCTCTTCAGCCTCAAAAGATGACAGCCCACAGACAGGTAACTTCTATTTACATGGAACCCAGAAATCTCCTGCAAATCATGGTAAGGCTGAAACAACAAACACAAACACTGATTAAATCATGAAAAGAGAATGTAGCAGAATGACTCCTTCAAGTCGTACTTGTTTGTTGGCCTGGGGAACAGGTTAGGTATTTCGCAGGGATTTCTGGTGTGCTCCTGCGGTGGACCAAGAGATGTAAAGGTTGTGTACTCAGACTATCAATACAGTCAGAATTCAGAGGATTTGCTAATCCAACCTCTGTTATTTTACGTATGAAGAAACTGAGGCCCAGAGAGGCAGAGAGATTGTCGGGGTCACAGAAAGTTGGGGCAGAGTTAGGATTCAGTTCTAAGACTGCTGCAGTCTGGGCTTTTTGCACTACACTAGGGTAATGATATTTTTAGCAACATGGCTATGCGATCTTACTCTCCTTGGTGAAGTTTTCCTATCAAGGTTGAAACACCCAGAGGTTACTGTGGACAAAAAAATGTTGCCTGACATTTCACAAACGTTGCCCACCGTCAAGCCATCAGTCACTGAAGCCACCGCTGAAGATAGGCCCAGAGGAGGATTCAGGATGGAGAAAAATAGGAACTTGCCCTAGATAATTATGATGCATATCTAAGGAATGAGTTCAATGAGCCCAGACACTTGCATCTTCCCATGCATAAAAAACCACAGAAATCATTCATTTGAGTTGTCTGTTTCTTGTTAGTTAGCAGTAATCTTTTGATGTTCAACTACATGCTCTCTTTTCAGCAAAAACTGCTATATATCCTGGCTCCTCCCTTACTTCTTTGGAGCAGTTCCTCAGGGCTATATGAGGCTGTCTCCTGGGCTATAGTCCTCAGTAAGGTCCCTGTATAAAACATAACTTGTAAGTTTTAGGTTGTGCATTTTTCTTCAGTGGATATTAGGTGAACATTTATTTGGTGACTTTCCTGCAAGTGAAGGAGTGCAGTGTTTGTCTATCCTCAGTCTAGGTAAGACTTGGTGTTTTGATTTGTTCTATGTTACTTAAGGGTTCAGACAATAAAGCTTTAATATGATTTCAGAAACTAGATAAATACTGTAGTTTAAGCTAAAGTTTCTTTAGAGATCTGCTACTCTTTTTCTAGGCCTTCCTTCCTCTTCCTTTATCCCTTTTGCCCATCTGGGCATCCACCCGATTTTTCCTTCCATGTAATTCAGCAAACACCTTTTCCAGTTTCTGTTATTTGCCAGACTTTGTTGGTAGAATGTGAAAGACATGGTCACTGCCACCAGGAAGATAACCATCTAGTTAGGGAAATAAAGAGATTCCAATGAAATTCAAGATGAACTGTTAGGAATGGCACAAAAGAAAGGACATTAGAATGCTACAGAGGCCCCCATGGAAAGATATATTCAGTTGGCAAAACTTGATGGAGGAGGTGGCAGGGGTAGGATTTTTTTCTATGTTAAAATTTTTATCTGTAAATTGTTTTTGTTAATGAAATATAACACATACAGCAAGGGCACAATTTTTGCCTATGTATACACTTGTGTCATGAATCCCTAAATCCAGATAGAGAATGTTTCCAGCACCCCTGTGCCCCTTCTCAGTCATCCTTCTATCCTGATAATCACTCTTCTGACTACTGTTACCATAGATCAGTTTTGCCTGTTCTTGAATTTCATTTATTCATTTATTATTTCTTTATTTTTGGCTGAGCTGGGTCTGTGTTGCTGCATGTTGGCTTTCTCTACTTTAGGCGAGTGGGGGCTACTATCTAGTTGCAGTGCCCTGGCTTCTTAGCAGGGTGGTTTCTCTTATTGCAGAGCATGGGCTCTAGGACTGGCAGGCTCAATAGTTGTGGTGCACGGGCCATATTTCTCCACGGCTTGTGGGATCATAGTTTACTTTTCATGATTAGTGCTTTTTGAATTGTTTAACTCTTTGCCTACATAGTTGGTGGAAGTTTAGCAGACAAATATGAGGGAAGAACATTGCACAAAGGAAGAGAAAGCAAGTCTGAGCCTAGGCCCTGGTGTCAGAGAGGGAAGATCTGAGTCCTGTTGGGTTGGGACGGCATGGAGTTTGAGCTCTAATGGCGGGGAGGCAGTGAGACAAAGCTGGATGGGGTGGGGGAGGCATCCTGAGCCTTCAAATTTGAACATTATTCTGGAGGAAGCAGAGGCACAGCCAGAATATTTATGAATTTAAACAAGACTTATTAGTCCTTCCAACACCAAATTTGTCCCTTCTCCTCCTCAGCCCTGTTCACTTACCTGGCCTCCCCAGCCAGAATCCTGGGTGATACCTTCCTTCTCTATCCCTGCATTCAGCTGGTTGCCAGGTCTGACAGATACTATGGTCTAAATGTCACAACAAGGACCTTTCTATTTCAAGCCCAACTGCTGCCACCTTTGTTCAGGATCTCATAATCTCTTAACTGGAATCCATCAGTCACCTCAAGGGTTTCCCAGCCTCTAGTTTTCTCCATATCCAGTCCATTCCTATAGCAGCTAGTGTCCAAAATGGCAATTATTCAGACCTCTCCACAGCTTAAAAACCCTCAATAGCTCCCCAGTGCCTCTAAGATAAAAGAAAAACTCTTTTACAGGACTTGTCTTCTTTCTGATTTGCTTGCTTATTCTTCCAGGCTCAACTCAAGCCTCATTTCCTCCAGAAGGCTGCCTTGAATCGCCTCTCCCCAGGGCACAGTCAGGAGAGCCTTGGCTGTACTCCTGGAATACCTGTGGCACCATCTGTCCTGGCCAGACAGGCCTGTCTCCCCCAGAACCATGAACTCTCCCAGGTAGGAACTTTGCTGTATTTAGGTTTTCATGGGTATAGTGCCTTGCATGTGGTTTCCAAGAACACTGATGACCTGATGCCAGCTCTGCAGCCCCCATCTCTCACCCATGATCCCTGGGCTCCCGTCACTCTGGGTTTCTTTTTTGCATCAGTATATGCTACATAGCGCAGACCTCTTTTCTTCTCAGCTCTTGCCCGTAAGATGCCCACTTTCCCTTCCCCAGCGCATTCTCTTCTGTGCTTCCAAAGTGTTGTCATCTCTCTCATAGCACTTAACAGATTGAAGCTTTTTGAGGGCAAGAACCTTATCTTCATAGAACCTTCTAGAATATAACAGGCACTAAAGAAAAATTTTAAATGAATGTGTTGGTGCTCCGCACCTTTTCTGCTGTCTGATTTCTGCACTTGAATTCACAAAAGGTGAATAGGGCTTTTTTTTCCCCCTTCTTCTCATTTTCAAGACCTTAGTCTGGTGTACACGTTAAAGGAGCCAGCTTAGGTGTTCAGTTGCGTGGCATTCCTAGCCATCTTCCAGGTGAGTTGGTAAATACCAGATGCAACGCCACAAATATCATTTTGGTCACAGAATCATGGTTGGTTAAACCCGTCTTTTACTTATTTTAAAACATTTTCTGAATAGAGGCGAAGAATATGGTCTTTGGCTTCAGAGAGCCTGGGTTTCAAAGCAGACTTTGACACACTGGCTTTTGGATCTGAAAAAATGGGAATAATGTTACAGGCCTGGAGTTGTAAGAATTCGACAAGACGGTGTACAGCACACGGCACCTGGCATATGCAAAAATGCTCTGTACCCCATGGGTAGCCACAGTTCGGCAGGGAGAATGGATTTAGGGTCCAAAGCTGCTGATGGCGATGGTTTGGGCCCCAGTCCTGCCTACGCTGCATTTCTCTCCTCAGGACCCCCACCCCAGCCGGCTCGGACCCCCTTTCTCTGGTGCAGGCCTCACTAGAGCTCCGAGGCTGCGAATGCGGCGGGGGAACCTAGTGTGGGCGGAACTCGAGTGCAGCGGCGCGAGGCTTCCGGGGGAGCCACAAGGGCAACGGGTCGGCGGAGGCAGAAAAGCGTCGGACGCCGGGCCGATCATGGACGCTTGACAACCTGCGGGCAGGCGCCGGGAGGCCAAGCCAGCGACCGAGAGGACAGAGAGGCGGCCGAGGACAGGTAGGGGCCGGCGAGAGGGTGGGGCCCGGCGCGCCAGGCGCGGCTGGGCCGTCAGACGTAGCGCCAGCCGTGGGAAAATCCCGCGGCCACACCGCCCCGCCTCGGAGCGCGCCCGTCCGCCCCTCACCCTGCACCCGCGGCCCTGTGAGGTACACGCCGCCCGCCCTAAAGCCCACCCCAGCCCGCGACCCTCTTGCTCTCGCTTCTCCACCCGCAAAGGCTGCGGCTTTGCCCCTCTGCGGTCCATTAAAATAGCGCCCCCCCCGCGGGACGGGAATTCTCGCCTGAGTTCCTAGCCGCCTCCTTGGGCCCTCCCACTCCAGAAGAAAGCGGTTATCAGCGTCTCCTTATTATCTCTTTTCCCCCACGGACTTTGCTTTTTAGGCCGAGATTTTTTTTTGAGGGACCGAAGTTCTATCCATGTTTTTACCCCTTCTCCATCCCCTATCATTCAGTGTTTTCACACATTTCCACTTGGAAGGGAGGGTTTTTTTTTTCGTCTCCAAACACATCACCTTCCCCCGACATCTCGCTCATACCCTGTCCTCTTCTCCGTCCAGTTTCCCCTCCCCTCAGCAACCTTTATTCTCTTTATCTAGCACTTCATTTTTTTCTGTTTCCAACAAGACCTTCTTAGGTAACCCTGGTGAAACGACATACTTGTTTCTGTAATACTGTGAAAGGACTGCAGCTCTTGGTGCCTGCCTCCAAAGGAAAACTTAGTTTCTCTTGCATCAAGCTATCCTTTTTCGATTTGTTCTTGTCCCTCTACTATACTTCTCCTTCATTTTGTCACACTGCCCAGGATATATCATTCTTAGAGAAGTAATCTTTTCTTATGTAGGACTCCTGTAGAGTAGATATGCAGCGTGTGTGTGTTCATATACACTCAGCTTGTAGTCAGTAGATTTTACAATCGAGGAACCCTCTTGTCCTAATGTCTTCTGGATGGCTATACTGTATCTTCATTGTTTCTTCAAATCTTTTTATTTTCTGGAGGTTTTCTACAAATTCTGAACTCGTATTTGGTGAAATGTCACATACCAATAGGAAGCCAAATAAAGGGATTTTTCACGTGGACTTAAACAGCATGTGTGCATGTATTTTCTTAGTTTGAATATGTTGCTCTTTATCTTTCAAGATGATTCCCCTCTTCCCTTTTCTATTCAGTCAGTGATTTTGTTGATTAAATGCATCATCTTTCTTGTCTGCCTTTTGTTTTCCCTTATCTGTGTCTGGTTGTAGGTGGGATTCTAATGGCACAATGGAAGCTATAACTGATTGCTTTTGCTTACATCTGATGCCTCTGTGTTTTGACAAGATTCTCTGCTTCTTAACCAGAGTCTAAAAGTGAGGTGAATATAAGACAGCTACTGAGTTACTCCTGTGTGTTTCTTCAGGTCCTGGTTAGGTTTAAGGGCTTCGAAGGTGCTGTCTTTGGGGAAGGGTCAGATGGAATGAAGTGGCTTTTATTAAATGTTTCAAATGTCAGAATAAGGACCAAATCCCTAAACTCCAGGTTAGACCCTACCATGTCACAAAGTGAGATCTGGACTCAGGAGCTGTTTTTTCTTTTTGAATACTCCCCAAACTATTCTGATGTCTGATCCAGCATGAAATAAGCATAGATTTTGCAAAGGAGGAGGAAGAATGACCGAAACCCTTTTCTTTTGGACAGATCTCAAGGCCAGAGAATGGCAGGTGAACAGAAGCCCTCAAGTAACCTCTTGGAACAGTTTATCTTACTAGCCAAAGGTACCAGTGGTTCAGCCCTCACTGCTCTCATAAGCCAAGTTTTGGAGGCTCCTGGAGTATATGTCTTTGGAGAACTGCTGGAGCTGGCCAATGTGCAGGAGGTAAGTGCAGTTTTCAGACAGTTTCTCTATTTTCCTTGTTTTAAACCTTCCTGAGATTCTCTAGGCTTCCAGGGATTATTGGTGCTGAAGCATTGTGGACCTGTAAGGTGCTATTTTTGAGCGAGGGATGGGAATTGATGAAGCAGGGGAAGAGAGTGGGGATGAAATTCTGGGCTCCTTCTGGCTGGTATTTTCATCTGAATTTGGAGTAGTTGAGATTACTAATAGTGTTAGTTGCTCAGTCGTGTCCGACTTTTTGTGACCCCGTGGACTGTAGCCTGCTAGGCTCCTCTGTCCATGGAATTCTCCAGGCAGGAATACTAGAGTGGGTTGCCATTCCCTTCGCTAAGGGATCTTCCTGACCCAGGGATCGAACCCGGGTCTCCTGCACTGCAGGCAGATTCTTTACTGAGTCACCAGGGAAGTGGTAGTAATTTGAAAGATAGGGGACAAATCCAGCTGAATCTGATAAATTAGAAAAGTATAGTATCAGCATGAATGATGTTACTAGTAGTTCCGGTCATTCTTAGGGACAAAAAGCCTCCAGTGTAAACATGGACATTGAAGATTGGTCAGGCACATACATAGCAGGAAGTGTTTGTTATTGAGCATGAGATGAGCATGGATAAAGAATGTATTATTTCTGTGAAAAGGGCAATGTAGTGCTGAAGATGTGTGAAAACAATATGACATGAAAAGCTGGGAAGTAGTCCTTTTTGCTTTGTTTGCTTGCTTATTTGTTTGTTTGGTAGTGGTTATTAAAACCTTGGGTATCACCTTTGGTTGTTGTAGGTGAAAAATGAGAAGAATAACCAGGTGGAACGGAGCTGTGTAAAGGATCCCATACTTTTCCACCTCTGCTTCCCACCTAAGATATTTTCACATTTATTGATTGATGCTTTTATGTTGGTTGATTAAAAAGTCTGGTGACATCTTTATTACATACTTTTTTGTATTACATACTTTATTACACCAGGAGCTCTTGGTGGGGAAGGCTGGCTTCCTCTACACTGTCAGAGCTTCTTCCTGGTTGCCCAGTGTTACTCCTGCTCTGCTGAAGACTGCCATGTGCAGATCTGGGTGGTCCTTGTTCTTGAGGATCATGTGCAAGATGCTACTTAGGGTTGCTTGGGCTTTCTTGTCGATGGTGGTCCACGTAAATGGGGTGACTGACTTTTGCTGGCCAGTTCTTCAGTTCATGACAGTAGGACAATGCCTTTGCCATTGGCTGCCTGCTTCATGCTTATCGCCCTGCTGTGAGTCAGCCCATTGTAGCAGGAGTTGGGTCTTCTGGACTTGCTGTTGTACATGTGCTCATTCCTCTTGATTAGCTCGAGCAGTTCCCCTGGGTCATCCCTTGCAGATGTATGGGTGTGGCATTAGTTCCTGTCGCTGCAACAGTTGAAAACAGAAAGACCCACTTTTTTTTTAATTGTAAATTTTCATTTAACATCAGATTGGCTTGCTAGACTGTAAGCTCTGTTAGGGTAAGGTCTATTCTGCCCACTGTTGTTTCCTTAGAGCTTCTTATGTACCCTGACACATGGTAGACATTCAGTAAAAATTTAATTACCAGAGATAGAAAAGGAATCCTGTGAGGAAAATTTAAGAAAGTTTAAGTTCTTTTTTTTTTAAAGACTTAATTGTTTTAGATCAGTTTTAGATTCACAGCAAAGTTGAGAGGAAGGTACAGAGTGTTCTAATATATCCCTTGCTCTCATGCATACATGGTTTGCCCCATTACCAGTATCCCCCACCAGTGTGGAATGTCACTGATGCATGATTATCATTCAAAGACCATAGTTTCTGTTAGGGTTCACACTTGGTGTTGTACAGTCTATGGGTTGTGTGTGTGTGTGTGCTCAGTTGTGTCTGACTCTTTGAGACCCCATGGACTATATAGCCTATCAGGCTTCTCTGTTCATGGGATTTCCCAGGCAAGAATACTGGAGTGGGTTGTCATGCCCTCCTCCAGGGGATCTTTCTGACCCAGGGATTGAACCCATGTCTCTTGTGTCCACTCCATTGGCAGGTGGATTCTTTACCACAGCGCCACCTGGGAAGCCCGTATGGATTTAGGGAAGTGTTCGATGACACGCATCCACCATTACAGTATCAGGGAGAGCGTTTCACTGCCCCCAAGATTCTCTGTTCTGCCTGTTCTTCCCTTCCTCCCCTCTAATCCCTGACAACCACTGATGTTTTTACTTTTCTCAGAATGTCATATAGTTGGAAACATATGTATGTAGCCTTTTCAGATTGGCTTCTTTCACTTAGTAATATTGCATTTACATTTCTGCCGTGTCTTTTTGTGGCTTGATAGGTCATTTTTCAAAAGAAGAGATAGCTAGGAGTAATTTGTTTCTTCAGGTTTGTGAAAAGCCTGAATGAATATAAACAAGTAGTTACTTTTTTATGGAAGTTTGGGTAAGAGGAGATGGATGAAAATTAAAGTCAGAAAGATGTTACTGATTTAGGCCAGTGGGAGAAATTTTGGAATGTCTACCCTAGAGAAAATAGTCTTTTATGGCTCGTTTTGAAACTTGTCTGTTTGAAAAGTGGGGGCTAGATTTGATGGTCTCATCCACTTCTGATTCAGGACCTCAGGAGATTCTCAATAACCTGAGAAGGGAGACCAGGGTATTAGGATGCCAGAGTTCTCATTGGAGTGCTCAGCAGAACACCTTTATCTTCCCACAGTTCGTTTTCTTTCCATATGTGAGCTGGGAATAAGCTAGTTGCCTTTCAGTGGTCAGAAATTACAGATGTAGTTTTTGGAACCTTTTAAAGTTGAGTGGTATTATCAGTGTCCACAGAATGCAACTTGGATCCTGTTTAGACTTTGCTGAGTTTGGTAAATTGGGAGAGTAACAGGTCATATTTGCGAGTAGGGAAAGCACACAGTTGTGGTGACTGGCAGCAGGGCAGGGTGGAGCAGCTCCCAGCAGAGCAGGGCCGTTTTGCTTTTTCTTCCGCAGGTGGCTCTTTGCCCTTAGTATTGGCGAGGAGTAGGTAATTTTAATGAACAGTTTTGTTTGGGGCTGACTGATAGCCTGGTTTCCTGTCCCAGCTGGGCTGTATTGTCGAATCTTAGGCTTTGCTGATCTCCGGCATTCACAGTCCCCTTGTAGTCCTGAGACTTGGAGCCACCCCTGTACTTTTTCAATTTGGATTCAGAGTGACTTGTGCTGTTCCTGCCAAGCTGGGGTGTCGGCAGAGCTGCTCCAGTCTTCGTTTCAGTGGTGGGAACGCTGAGAAAATTCCTCCTGCTCCCAGTGCTTATTGCTTTGTGTGCATGTACGCGCATCTCTGTGACAAAAGTAGTTCCTTGGGCAAGCTGGATAGAGTGTAAAGTGTGTATTCCTGAGAGAGGAAATTTAAATATGGGCCTTTAATAACCTTATTTATTCCCAAAGAATCAGAGTTGGGAGGGATCTCAGGAACCAAGCAATAAAACAGTATGGAACTGTGGCCCGTGATCACCTGCCCTCTGCTCGAATGCTGTAGTGATGGGTAGACAGCTCGGTCTGTGAACTGTTTTCTTTTTTTCCTCCTCAGCTTGCAGAAGGAGCAAATGCGGCTTATTTGCAGTTGCTGAACCTGTTTGCCTATGGAACATACCCAGATTACATAGGTGAGTTGGTTAAGATCCTCCACAGACTTCTCTTCATTATGTTACTCTGCCTGGGTGTGTTGTCTTCCCGAGGCTCACTGAGGTCTGGGATATAATGGGGTGGGCACTTACTTGGCTGTTTCTCATCTCATTGTGCTCTGTAGGTGACATCCCATGAGGACTTTGGTTCCCTCCTTTTATTTCCCAGTGGGTTAAAGGGGACTATGTTTATGCTCATCCATAAATACAGCCCTTGTTTTTTTTCACATGAGGTTCTTGAGGACTGGTGTTGGTAGAGCACTTGGGAGTATTGTGAAACGTCAGAATACCCATTTGGAAAGTCTTTAAGCATTAAATATTACCTAAATAGCATCACCATATTGAAGAAGGTTTGGAAAATAGGGGGAAAAGTCACTTGTAGTTGTACCACCTATAACCACTGTTAGTTTTATGGTGCTGGACTTTTCCTCCCTTGTGCTTATGATTTCTGTAGGTGTAATTAGATTATGTGTACAATTTTATATCTGGCTTTATTCGTTATTTCATAGGCATTTATCCACGTTTTACATCTTTATAATCATTTTTAATATTCCATAATCTAATACTCCATAATCTACTTACTCAGTTCTCTTTTCTAGATCATTTGAGTCATTGTAAGTTATTGTACAGCATAGTCATTGTAACTGTCAGGAGTGAGGTACATGAATGTCCAAACACTAACTTACATTCTACTCAAGCCATTTTTGTCTGGCTTTCCTAGTTTATTTTAGTGGTATGACATAGACCTGGCAGTTTATTTTAGTGGTATGACTCAAGGTCTTCACTGTAGTATCCCTGACTTCTCTTTTTCTCTCACTTTCTTTCTCCCTGGTCGCTTCTACTTAACTCTGTGCTGCCATCACACTGGACAGTTTGCCACTTGCCAGATTTTTCTGACCTTCACTTTGTTCCAGTGAGTGAATCCTTTGTTTCCATCCTCACTGAAAAGCAGCATTTTACAGACTCTGGAACTAGGATTCTTGGCTTTTATACTCTGTCTCTACTTCTACCAGTTGTGTGTCCTTTGGCAAATTAAGTGATCTTCTGTACCTCAGTCCCCTCATCTGTCAAAGGGGAGTAATAAAAAGGTCCACAATCCTTTATCTGGGCTGGATGTTTCATCATTTAGAATTTTGGGGATTTTAAAGAGGTTATATGATTTTAAAAAGTTATATGATGCATATACTTTTTTATGTAACACCCTTGAGAGATGTGGGCAAAACCAGGAATCAAACACACTCAAGTTTTGCAGCAAAATAAATGACTTCACAACAAATGGGATTCAAAAGCCTAACTCAGTTTAGGTCAGGAATTGCCACCATGTGAATTTCAGCACAGTGTTCAAGGGGAAAAAAAGGCAGTTTGGATTCACCAATTGGAATCTAGAATTATGGATAAGGAACTGAAGACATTGGAATCTGATTTGTGGGGTTGCTGTGAGGACTCCCTGGTTGTGTGTGTGTACGTGTGGATCTGTGTGTGTACTTGCACTAAGTACAACTTCCTGTCTGTGTTCCCTTGGCAGTTGCCATCGCCGTTGTTTCCATTATTGTCATTGCTTACATTGTGCCCATCCTTCCACAGTCATCTGAAGCTCCACCTTTTTTTCTTTTCCTCTCCTACCTCCCCAGTGTGATTGTACTCACTTGTGCTCCCTCTTTTTCCCTTTCTTCTTCTCACCCTCTTGTCATCTTCTGGTAATTTGTACCTTTCTTCTGGTAGTTCTCCTGCATTTGTAGCTGTTGAAACATCGATGACAACTGAGAACAAGTCCAGGGCCATTGAGTTGCCCAACTCTGGGTGGTGGTTGGTGCTCCTGGAGTTGTGGAGTGCAGCAGCCCTGATAAGGCCCATCTTACTCCCCTTGAATCACTTAAAACAGTGCATTGCACATAACAGATACTTAGGGAAGACATTGAAAATAGTATTCCATTAAGATAATTGTCATACCATTTTGTTCAGTCATGCCTGGCTTCTTAGAAGACCCAGCTTTTTAGGTGTAGAGATTCAGTTTTTTTCTTCTTTGGGAGCACATGGTCTTTGAGTGAAGACAGGAGGTGCTTATGGAACATTTGCCTCATAAGTAAGTGCAGAGTCATGACAGTGATTCAGTGCTAGGTTTGGTGTAGGGAGTTTGTGTGCTTATTCCATGAAGAAATCCTAATTTTGTTTTGTGTCTTGATTTTTGTGGTGGGTGGGACTGAGCAGCCAACAAGGAGAGCCTGCCAGAACTGAGCACAGCTCAGCAGAACAAGCTGAAACACCTCACCATCGTGAGCTTGGCGTCGAGGATGAAGGTACGGCCCCGGCCCCTTCTTGTGTCTTTCCTCACCTCCAGGCAGGTGTCTTGTTGGCATCAGTGTGGGAACTCCCAGCTGCACACTGTAGAGCTGCATCATAAACGCATAAAATTTGCCTGGCAAGGGACAAAAGAGAATAAGATAGCAGTTAAAATAGTGTAGATAATTACTCACGATTCCGTTCAGGAAAGTATGCCCAGGAGGGATGTGAATCAGCAGGTCTCAGTTCTGGCATGCCATGGTGCCCCATGTACTCGAGCATTTGCCATGCTGAAAGGAGACTGCTGTTTCAAGATACAGATTTTTCAAACAAGGCATCGCAAGGCAAGATAACCACTTCAGCTGTTGCTCAATGCACAGTGAACTGTTCCCGTGCTGGAGGAATAACTTGTATGTTGGACTTACTGAGAGGTTGATTTTTTTAATAGGCTGCCTTCCTCTGAGGATTTTCAAGGTTGAATATACTAATTGGAATTTTTGCTTTATATGCTAACTTCTGACCCTAACCTTCTGTAAAATACCACTCCACTATATCTCTGAGTTCTTTGCCCCACTCAGTTTAGATGACATGCAACCTGCTAAAATCCAAATCCAGGATTCAAATCCAGGTTCAGCCAATTTATAGTTGGTTTTTGGCTCTCTGCTCAATCCTAACCTAAATGTCTTAAGTTTTCGTGAAGCTGTGCCTTTGAAAAAGTTTGCTCTTTTGCATTTTCCCTCTGTGATTGAGCCAGAAAGATGTATCTTTGTTCTTGGATTGTTGTTTTCACTTCTTAATATTATTTTATCTGGTCTAATTATAGATTTCTGATTCTCAGCTGGGCATTACAGGTGGGAGGCCTATTTTTTTAGGAAATGAGGACCTGAACTTTTTTTTCCCCTTTTGTCCTGATCACGGACTTCTCAAGTATAGCAAAGAGTAATAGTGACTCTTTACCTCATTTTTGCAACCTGTAAGCCCATGTACCAACTCTGGATTTCAGACCATTAGTCATAGAACACCTCTCAGGTAGGTTTGTCATATTCTCTGCATACATCTTCCTCCTGTCTGTTTCTGCAGATTTGATTGCTCTGTTAATTTTCAAGCTAATAGTGATGTGTCAGAGGATTTGCAGAAAACTGAGTATTTAAATATCCAGTTTCCTTGAAGTCATGCAGAATTTTGGTACAGCCTATTACAAGACTACTATCGGGGAGTTGACTTTGTTGGGTAAGAGACTGAGAAAGCAAATGTAAATTTCAGGATGACCTCTGAGCCGGCAGCACCCGCTGGCCACCTGTAGGTGGGCGTGTTAGCTTGTAAGTTTTAAAAATTTGTGCTCCGCTGGGCAAGCAGCCAGTTTGTCTCTCTGGTGTCTGAGATTGTTTGGAGTTTTTTGATGGCCTGGCATGTTACACAAATTCTGCAAGCTTCCAGAAGGCAGCAGAGTGCCAAATACTGAGTATTTCTCTCTTCTCAGCTGAAAGGTGAGCAACATCTATGAAGCAGAGGATGGAGGAGAATGCATTCCTAGATACTGTGGGTCTGGTTTGGATCCCACGGGTCTCACAGCTCTTTTATCCATCTCTTGTTGCTCTGAGTGAAAGTCGCTCGGTCGTGTCCGACTCTTTGTGACCCCATGGACTATACAGTCCATGGAATTCTCTAGACCAGAATTACTAGAGTGGATAGCCTTTCCTCTCTTTGGGGGATCTTCCAACCCAGGGTTGGAACCCAGATCTCCTGCATTGCAGGCAGATTCTTTACCAGCTGAGCCACCAGGGAAGCCCAGATCTCACTGCACCGTAGATGTTAATTACTACTGGACCGCATTTCCCAAAGCCCTGAGGCAGACGTTGGCTATCTGGGTAATAACCTGAATTTTCTTGAATGTTTACCAGTGGTTTTGTAAGTATGATGCATACCTTCTCTACAGTGTATCCCCTACTCCGTGCTACTGAAGGACCTGGAGATGCGGAACCTCCGGGAACTGGAGGACCTCATCATTGAGGCGGTCTACACTGACATCATCCAGGGCAAGCTGGACCAGCGAAACCAGCTGCTGGAAGTGGATTTCTGCATTGGCCGTGACATCCGAAAGAAAGATATCAATAATATTGTCAAGACCTTGCATGAATGGTGAGGCTCAGGGAAGGAGGCGCCCCCATCTTTGTTGTTTAGTCGTTAAGTTGTGTCTGACTCTTTTGTGACCTCAAGGGCTGTAGCCTGCTAGGCTCCTCTGTCCATGGGATTTCACAGACGAGAATCCTAGAGTGGGTTGCCATTTCCTTCTCCAGGGGATTTTCCCGACCCAGGGATCGAACCCACAGCTCCTGTACCGCAGGCAGATTCTTCACTCCTGAGCCACCAGGGAAGCCACTTGCCCGCCCCCCAACTCCTCCTTTAGGAAGGGGCTATCTGTCTTGGCCTTTGTGCTTCTTTTTGGAGAAATGTAGTCTTCATACATCAGAGGGGGCTGCCTGGGTGCTGGGACCTTGGGACAGCAAGCAGAGTGTGAAACTGCATTTGTGACTATAGCTGTGTGACAGCAAGAATCACTTCAGGCTGCCTAGTGTCATAGTTGTAAAATAGTTCTTGTCCTGTGCAACTGGGGGCTATTTAGCAGCAGGCTATGAAATGCCCACGGCTGGCAGGTAGAGTCTCTTAAGCCTGACACTGATCCTGTTGCTTCACAGACTCACCCTCAGCCTTCGACCGAGCTGGGAAATTCGTGTCAGTAAGATTTTGGGGATAAAAGAACCATATTCAGCATCAGTAACATTGGGCTAACGTTTGTAAAACACCATGAGGGATATTGAAGACAAGGAATGGGTTATTCTAAATTGGGACATAGATTCAGATATAGAATATTTGATAACTGTATTCTGGTATATAAAAAGGAGTGGGACATTTGCAGATACTCTATTTTAATAGAATTGGATGCTTGTGAGAGCTGTTGCACGTTCTACAAGAATTTGTTATAGTTATTAAAAACCAAGTTGTGAAGGAGGGCCAGGGTGAGAGTACAGTTGGAGGTGAGGAGAGTACAGTTGGAGGTGGGCTCATGGTATGTTCGAGATCATGAAGCGGGGCAGGTAGACTTTGTGCAAGGGGCGGAGGTAGGGGTGAAAATTGTCTTTAAACAGACTGACTCTCTGGCTTAGCCACAAGACGTGTATATCCAGGGATGTACAGCCCGGCTTTGGTCTTCCAGAGGTCCAAAGCCCTCTGAGCTTTCCTCACTGCAGCTCCTGTCAGACCCCCAGGCTTTTGCTGCCCACACGTTACCCCAGGTTCTGTCCTAGGTGTGACTCCAGACACCTTCCCTTTACAACATGTGACACAAACAGGAGCTTTCAAAAGATTGTAAAACTGTTAAGTCAGAATAGAAGGGAAAGAAACTTAGAAAATACCCGTAACATGAACATGGTCTGGAAGAGAAGCTTTCGGTGTCTAGTCCTGCTGAAGTTGGCTGGCTGTTTCTGTCTTTGAGATGACCGACACAGTTTTCACCTCCAACATCTGGCGTCAACGTATTTGCACTTGGGGCTCTCCTAGCTCCCATCCCAGAGTGTCTACGAGTACAAATTCTTACCCCTTGTTTTTAGGCATTGGAGTTAGATTTTAAACAAAGCTGGTACATACACGTAAAGTGGTACCACAGGTACAGCAGAATGTTCACAACTGCTGACTCTGAAGTGGAGGGGAGGTGGGTATTTACTGTACTATATCGTCAACCTTTTTTTTTTTTTAACAACATTTAAAAATTTTCAAAATAAAAAGTGGGGAAAATGAAATAATGAGGAGGTGGGTGGCAAACCAGGAAGTAACACAATTCTGAGAAAAAGTCCAATCTTCAAAATAGATGCTTTTAGAAAATAATTTTTTCTGTTGAGAAAAGCGATTAAGCATTGCCACCTGTGCAGTTTCTCCTAATTCCTTTAATTGCATGGTGTGTGCCACTTTCCCGTGGGACACAGAGGTTGGAAATTGAAGCTGTATTCTAAGAAACCACCCCAGGGACTTCCTTGGTGGTCCTGTGGTTAAGACTTCATGCTCCCACTGCGGGGGGCATGGGTTTGATCCCTGGTCGGGGAACCAAGATCCTGCATTCTGCATGCCGTGGTCAAAAGTAAACTCTTAGGAAACCGCTCCATGTCCTCTGTGTTTGTTTCCATATGCCCTGTCTTACGTATTTAGTAACAGCCTGTCCTTTGGCAGGAGTAAAGGGGCAGGAGCCCCGGCAGACGGAATGTTCCAGCAAGTGTCTGCGGAGTTGGGGAGGGAGATTTGGGAGACTGGTGGGCTCCCAGGCTTCTCTGCAGCTCAGGGCTGGTTCTCTCCTATGTAGGTGTGATGGCTGTGAGGCAGTCCTGCTGGGCATCGAGCAGCAAGTTCTGAGAGCCAACCAGTACAAGGAGAACCACAGCCGAACTCAGCAGCAGGTAGAGGCTGAGGTAAGGCAGGGAGTGTCTGTCCCCACTCCCAGGTATCCCTGTTTGTTCCTTGTCTCGTGAATCTTGGCGTAGATGAAGCACTCACGAGCGGGCCCTGGGCGAGGTGCTCGGGTAGAGGACAGTGTGACCCATCCCTGGGCTTGGTGCTCTCTGTCTCCTTTCTGGTTCCCGGTCGCCAGAGGGTGAGTGGGCTTGGAGACCAGAATGTTGTAATTCCTCAGTTCACATGCACTTTGCACCTGCAGAGCACAAGAAACAAGTTTGGGGATGGCCTTAAGGGTGGATGGAAGGGTGATGGTTACTAGGCTGGGCGGATGGAGGGTGAGGTGGGGTGGGCGCACCTGACATCTAGGCCTAATGCTGCTCTGCTCCTCAGCGGTGTGGTGGGTGCTCTGTGTTTGTTTTATTCTCTAATCTGTGCATGTTTGTTGTAACCTTTGAAAATGTGTCATATGTTTTATCCTGAACAAGGAAGAAAGGGGAAAAATTTGGTGGAAGAAACGCAAGTGAAGGTAAAAGTGTGTGATTGTGGTATTAGACACCTGTTTGTTTAGGACGCTTTTAGCCTCTGGGGAGATGCAGGCTCCAGCCCTGGAGTGAATGGGCATTTGTGAGCCTGTGGCCTGGACACCCCTGGGAGTCATCTCCCAATTTGTTTGGAGCCCTGAAGATCAGAATTTTAGCACTGAAAGTTCTTTTCTGGTATGATGGAGCTTGCGGCATTAATGATATTTAATGAATTTTAAAAGTCAGGTGTCCTAGAGTATGGCAGACTGGAACCCAGAATTAGAGGTAAGGAACATAAGAAATAAGTGGCCGTGCCTTTCAAAGGGGGATTTGTGACATTTGAAGATTTCCTCTACTCTGTTGTATGTATTCCTTGAAAATAAAACCTGTGTCTTATTTAAATTAAAACCTGATCTTTGTAAGACCAGCTCTTTGCCCCATGCCTTACGCATAATAAGTGCTCAAATGATTGTCGTATATTTCAGGCACACGCTGTAAGTATCCGTAAACTCTGAAGTCTGCTTTTTACAAACTAGAGAGAATTTATTTTATGTACACAAATACCCATGTATACTACATAGGCACACCTACTCTGGGAATGTTCCACCTGTTGTAAATTTTTAACCCTACTTCTTGCAGAAGTGTGATCTATATTTAATTTAGCATTAGTCAAAGACAAATACAGTTAGGAAAGTAAGCCTGCTGCTTCTCCAACAAACTCTGTAATCCCCCTGTTGAAGATTGTAGTCTCTTCTCTAACCTGGGATTGATGTCTGAGTGAAGTAGGAAAGGCTAACCTCTTTCTCTCCTCTTCACTGACCTCTCTCTCCCCTCTTCACTGACGCTTCCCTGTAAATCAGACCCTGGGGAAACAGGAGATTTGGAGGCAAAACACCCACCTGACCTGGGATCACCTGAGACACTCTTTAACCTGGTTGGTCGCCCAGGAGGAGCCTGATCACTGCCGGCTGCCCCATTGTGGTTGAAGTGAAGTGAAGTGAAGTGAAAGTTGCTCGGTCGTGTCTGACTCTTTGCGACCCTATGGACTGTACAGTCCATGGAATTCTCCAGGCCAGAATACTGGAGTGGGTAGCCTTTCCCTTCTCCAGTGGATCTTCCCAACCCAGGGATTGAACCCAGGTCTCCCGTATTGCAGGTGGATTCTTTACCAGCTGAGCCACAAGGGAAGCCCAAGAACACTGGAGTGGGTAGCCTATCCTTTCTCTAGCAGACCTTCCTGACCCAGGAATCGAACCGGGGTGGTTGGACCGCTGCTGATTGTGTGGCAGGTGGTGGGCTTGATTGTGGTGGCTTGCCAAAATAAATGATACTCGTAGAACTTTGAGTGGCTACAGTTTATTTCCATAATAAATGGCATCTGTTGAAAGAAGGCAATGACTGTCTAATGTTGAAACCCGACCAGTACTTCTTAGACAAGAGTGTGGACTCCTTTAATTACGGTTATGAAACGAGAGAGCCAGCACATGTGGACTTGCTGTCAGCAGTCCACTGCTGGAAACACAGCTGCTCCAGCTGGCAGGGCCTGATGCTGCCACCAGGTGGCAGTAAGGGTTTGCTTAAGTGCAAGAGAAAGAAATTTGAGCCAACTGAAGAGAAACAGAGAAGCCAGGTGTTCTGCAGTCCGTGGGGTCACAAAGAATCGGACACAACTTAGTAATTGAACAGCGACAACAACAACCAAGGTCACCTCCACTACCAATTAAAGCAGTCTTCTAATTTGCTCTTTCCTGGTGGCTCAGACAGTAAAGAATCTGCCTGTAATGCAGGAGACCTGGGTTTGATCCCTGGGCCCGAAAGATCCCCTGGAAAAGGGCATGGCAGCCCACTGCAGTATTCTTTCCTGGGAAATATTCCATGGACAGAGGAGCCTGGTGGAGCACAGTCCATGGGGTCACAAAGAGTTGGACATGACTGAGCAACTAACACTTACACTTTTCACTAATTTGTTACTCTTCTAGGAAATCTAGAACAGACAGCTATGAGAAGAAGGGGAGCGTGGTCAAAGCCCAGAGCCTTGTCAGTTTTTCTAAATGCATGATCTGGCTACTACATGTAGGGTGCTGGTTGTCCCCTGGCTGAAGGCACAAGAAGGAAGGTGCTCCCTAAGTATTTGTTGACTTGAAAACAGATCTACCACCAAGTTGTAATTTTGTTCTATTCTGCTTGTATTTATGCTTCTGTTACTCATAACTTTTTTAGGCATCTTCTCAACTAAGTTGATCTTTATTTATTTTTAAGTTAGATTGGTGTTCTCAGAGGGGAAAACTTCATGTTTTTTTTCCCTCAAATCTTATAACAGCAAACTTCTGGTGACTATTAGTTTTAAGAGCTTTCCTTCTTAATGAAGTCAGCCCCATACAAACTGCCTAAGAATATTCTTTCCTTTTAGTCTTTCACAGAAATAACACGAACTAATTAGTCAGAATGCCAGCATACCTGCAGGAGATAGAGCAGTGACGTCACGAACTGTTTGTCATCTCTGAGCAAATGCTCTGGAGGGAGGTAATGGTCACCTCTACAAAGTACCTCATCACTTATATTTGATTTTGGAATGTATTCTTCTTCATATTTGAATGTGTTTATAAGTCTGATGTTCGGTGGAATGTCAATATATAGCTCTTGCTGCATTTATAAAATAGGCCATTTTCCAGAGCATAACTGGACAAAGTACACTCTTTTCTTTTTCAGTATGGCAAATCCTCCAGAAGCTGAGTTGGTGGTAGACCTTGAGCCCGTTGGCTGTTAGCGTGCGCTTCCCCGTGCCTCCTGAGACTTCTTTCCGTCTCCCTGTCCTCCCTTCTCTGAGTGGCCCTTTCCCACTGCACGCTCTACTTCTCTTGTCTGCCTTTGCTCGGCCCCACAGCTCACAGGTGTTTTCCTGCCCTAGAGCTGTTTCAGTTCTCCTTTTACCTAAATATCTAAAGTCTCTAGTAGAACTAGGCTGTGATTGTGTTAGCAGGTGCAGTCCCATGTGAAAATTCCTGGCGCTCATAATCCGAGGGACCTGACAAACTCTAGGTCATCTGGGGTAATGGGATGGCGCTGGCCTGCAAGCCAGACTGCTCAAGGAAGAAAGTTAGAAGGCAGCACGACACTGAGGCCAAAGAAGATCAGCCTGTGGGATATCAATCATTGTTTCAAGGGCGGCTCTGTGAAGGCAGAATTAGACTTCTCAGGATTGTTCCGTGGAGCTGAGACAGGCTTAATTGGTGGACCTGCCTGAGTGGCCACTCTTGGGTTCTAGAAGGAGGTGTCTATGGTTAGACCTGGGGAGTTATTACAGAAAGCGGGTTGACTCAACTCCCCTTCAACTCTGAGAGTCTGTTACTGGCTCAGCAGTCTCCTTTGTGAGTTCCATGTATTTTAAATGCCAACAGTCAAACTGACTGAACACGGTATATGCATAACGACCCACTGTGAGCCACGTCATGACCCCCACCCCATCCGGCTGAAGCCTTATGAGGATAAAGGGCCTCATTTCTTCAGGAAGCCCTCTTTTCTTCTGTGTTTTGTTTCCCCGACTGTGGAGGGCTCAGCGTGTAGTCTTACCATAGGAAGCTAGATGTGAACCCCTGAAACACAGAGGAGACACAGCATGTAGGAGGCCGCCATCTGACAATGAGAGGTACTGTCAGGCAGTGTAATTGAGGGGAGACAGGTCAGTGTGGGCGAGTGGTCAGGGTGGGAAGGGTGGAAGAGGTGGGGTCAGAGGGGCCAGAGAAGGAGGAGGCTTGCCCAGGCTGGAATGACAGGGTGTGCAGGACAGGCAGCCAGGCAGAGGGAAATGATTGCTCCCACGTGTGCAGCCGGGGACTTGGCGTGGCTCAGATGGAGGGCACATGTTGTGAAGGGAAAGATGGTACAAGGTCTTGAGTGGTGTGTTGGAAATGGAGAACAAGCCAGATTTGTCCTTGAGGTAGGTCTCATTTCTTCACGTGTCACTGAGCACCCAAAATATCAGCTTATTGGAAGATAGTTTCTATAAGAAACTGAAGAGGTAAATAGGCACTTGAATGCTTAGAAAACATAGCAAACTGGACAAGCCTTGGAGTGTTGTTTTATAGGGCAGTGATAACTGAAAAGTCACATTTCTTAATCTCTCCTCCACGGCCATCAAAATATGCCTTGAAGTAAAGCAAAAAGCAGACTAGCTCTTTTCTAAGAGAAAAAGTTGGCAGGCTGTCCACTTGCTTCAAATTCTTCACTCACTACCTCACCAGGTAACTCTGCTGAGCAGGAGATAACAGAGCAGCAGTAAGCACGGGAAGGTGGGATGCCTGGGGTCCTGAGAGGGCATGTCTTGGCCTGGCAGACACTGGATGCATTCAGCCGTGGACTCGGTGGCCCTCTGTGTCCACTGTCCCTGCCCACAGTCCTCTGTTGATGCTCCTCTTAGAAATGTCATTGAGATGACTGAGGGGACAGCAGTTTTGAGGCGTGGCTGTTCCTACATCTCAGAACAACAGATAACAAAAATGACCTGCAGTCTAGTCTAGGCCCATTCCGCAGATGACAGCTCTCCTCCAGGAACCTAATTTTTATGTTGCTTTCCTCTTTGCATTCAGCCTGTCTCACTCAAGCTCCTGATACTGTGACTGTTGAGAAGTGTTGACGCTGATAACTCCCTTCTTGTTCTGTAAGAAACCAGGGCTTCTTCCCAGAGAACACGGAAGCCACAAAACAGGGGAAGCTGCTTACTTTCATACCAACAAGCGTACACCTTTTTCTGCATCAGCCTTCTCCTCTTTCTTCCTTCTAATGATTGGGGAAAAAAGTTGATATTTCCTCTTCTCTTTTTCTTCCCTTTATTATTATTCTCAGTTAGCTGAAGGGCAAAGGTATGAATGATCCATTGGAACGGGCGCTGGGAAATGTGTATAAATATGGGCACATAAATAGGAGCACACAGTTTATAGGACAATCTGGTACAGTCATGTTTCAGAGGGCAGTATAGCAGTAAAGCAGTATAGCATTTCACTAAAGTAAAATGTGTAAACCCTTTGATCTGGAAAGCTCCACAGGTGTTCAAAAAAGTATGCAAAGGCTGTTTATTGAAGCACCATACGTAAGTGAAAAGCAAGCTAGAAACTAATTAAAAAATGGTAGAACATTCATCATAGAACAGTACATCCATGTTACTGTATAGGATATGTTCAGGAGGTGCTTAAATATCTGTTAAGAAAGGTCTGCTGAAATCAGTACTGTGATTGCATTTTTCTTTGACTACATTTTTTGTCATTGGTCACGTAGTTGGCTGAAGTTTACCTTCTAGTTTCTTGTTCAAGAAAGAAAGTATTAGTTGCTCAGTTGTGTTCTTTGTGACCCCATGGAATGCAGCCCACCAGGCTCCTATGTCCATGGAACTCTCCAGGCAAGAATACTGGAGTGGGTTGCCATTCCCTTCTCCAGGGGATCTTTCCAACCCAGGAATTGAACCCAGGTCTCCTGCATTGCAGGCAGATTCTTTACCATCGGAGCCACCAGGGAAGCTGAAATAAAGGCTCGTGCAATTGTATTCCAGAGTTGTTGTGAAAATAATCTGTGGTTTCATACCTGAACAGTGGTCAGCTGAGTATAGCATCTTGTGTCACCCTTTCTTTTTCTGCAGCCATTTTAGCCAGTGCTTTCTTTTACCTGCTTTGTTGTACCTTTTTGCCAAATGGTCCACTTCCACTTGGCTTGTTTCCTGTTTTCAACCAAGAAAACATCATTTGTTCCACTTTTCTGCTTGATTCATTTCCATGAATCTTCTGTGAGTAGCCCCTGCTCATTCTCCCCTTGTGTAGGTTTCTGAAGATAATCTCAGGTCTTCTTGCAGAAGGCTCTGGTTTCTTCGCTGAGTGGCCCCCATTGTTGCAGGAGCAGCTTGTGAGTTTCTGGCATGTAGGAGCTGAGCACCCCAATTCTCTGTCTCCCTCCAGGTTACCAACATTAAGAAGACCCTCAAAGCTACCGCGTCCTCCTCTGCTCAGGAGATGGAACAGCAGTTGGCCGAACGAGAGTGTCCCCCTCACGCCGAGCAGAGGCAGCCCACTAAGAAGATGTCCAAAGTGAAAGGTCTGGTCTCCAGCCGCCACTAGGGCCGGCTGGGGCAGCTGGCACTCACCAGGCCTGGGTCAGGTGGGGAGGGGACACCGAGGGCCTGCTTCCTCCCCTCTCCACCTTCCGTGAGTTCCAGACCTGCCCGTCCCCTCACCAGCGCCTCCCACCTCGTTGGTACTGTTCCAGAAGAACCGTTAAGTCCCTCCCCACCAACCCCCCGCCCCTGTCCCCAGTTGCTCCCTTCAGACTCAGGGGCTCCACGGATGCCATCCCAACAGGGCCGACACTGCCCAGCTTCCCTCCAGGAGGTTCTCGTCTCTGTCTAAGGGCTTGTCTCCCTCCCAGTTTTCCCTTTGCTTCGTGTCATTTTGTCAGGCTGTTCATAAGCCGGAAGCAGCTTTAACCAGCCCACAGGGATGGGTGCTCTCTGAGTGGGGGGGGGGGCTTCCTTCTCCAGCCCCTTGTACACAGTACCCATAGAGGTGCAGGCGCTCTCTAGTAGCCAGGTATCAAAATGCTTCATTTTCCCTCTCCTGCCTTACCCCTTGTTGGCAGCTCCGATCAGGCCATGGAGGGATGCCGATGCTGGGCTGTGTTTACTAAACCTGCGGGTTTTCAGCCTCTTAAGGCCCAGCTCCAATCTCTCATTAGATGGGAGCACTGGGCTGTCTTTACCCCTGGGATCTGAGCACCAGTGGTGGGTTGCCATGGGTCTGCTGGGTGGCAGAAGTCTCTTCCAGCTGGTGTTCTTTGCTGGCTTCGCTCCTTGCTGCCTTTTGACTACTCAGACTGGCCTTTGGTGTGAAGGCCCTGGCTGCCCATGGGGGTTGTCTGCCAGCATTCACTCTCCCGAGATCTTTACTTCCTCCCGGCTGCATCCATGGTGGGGATGGTGTGTCGCGGCCCCTCTGGTGAAGGATTTGTTGCTGCTTCTGTTTCTTTCTTCCCACCCTCCCTGGCTGGTGACCCAGAGCCCTCTGATGATGGCATTCTCCTGGCAAGAGAAAAGGACTTGACTAGTAGCCTTTCTGAACTTGAACAGTTTCAGGTTATATTTTAATTTTTTTTTTTTTTGTACAGGTTCTGATTCTAATACATTTCAACATGCCTTTTTTCCCCCTTGTGTCAATATTTGTTATAGACTAATCGCCGGGGATTTTCACCTGGTTGGAGGGTGGTGTGTGTGTATGTGTGTGTGTGGTGATGTTCGTTGGTTTTTTCTTAAGGGGAGGTGCAGGTCCTGGGCCGATATTAAAGAGAGAAAAAGCACATTTTAGAACAAGAAATAAATGTAGATTTAATGTACGTGACTGTAAAATGTGGGGTTGCATAGCTGGTGGATCTCGAGGGGCTGGAATTAGAGGGTTCAGGGAACAGGTGATACTGTTTCAGTGCCATGGTAAAAAACAGATTTCTCCTTTTTCCAAAATGTCCAGCAGCTGCCTACCATTGATTGAATGTTAACAAAGTGTTCTTGTTTCCTTTCTTATAATCCATGTCCCCGTATTACATGCCCAGCTGGAGGGTTTAATTCCCAAAGTATGTTTCATGAAACCCTTTGGTAGATGCTCTGTGGAAAGGGGGTTCTGTTGTTAAATAAATCTGGCACATCCTGCATCCCATATCCTCACTGGAAGTTCATTGTTAAGGTCTCAGAGAAGGCCTGGGGGAGGAAGCTGGTTACCACACTCATCTCAGCACCCATTCCTTTTTGGTAATTTTTGGTGAAACATATTTTGGAGATATTTTTGGAAATAGTATTTCTCAAAAACACCTCCCAGCCTTATAGGTTTTTCCACCTATTCCTTCTAGATCCAAAATAGTCACTTGCTCTTGCAAGTGGTCATCCATCCTTATCTTTCCTGCCAGGGAGCAGGTTAGGAAATGTGACTCATTTGCAGGAAGTGTGCACGCACTTGTTTGACTGCCCCAGGCCCTCAAGGGCTCCAGGTTCACCTTTTCCACAGGTCTGCTGTTCCTTACAAATAGTAGTGACAGTCATAAGAACAACACTCACAAGGTGCTCTACAGAATGGCTTCATCTACAGTAAGTCATTGAATCCCTCCCATTAAACAGTCTCCTGAGATTGGTAAGGTAAGTATTATTAGAGCCATCCTCACTTTACATGTGAGATAATGGAAGCTCAGAGATTCAGAGTCCCCTGGTGTTCAGGGGTGAAACGAAGACTCCCGGATCTCTGGACATGAGTGCCCAGCTATCTTCTCTAGGTGGTCACCAGACTTACCCTCAGTACCCTTCTACTTGCTTATTCCTCTGAGGGCCCCTCTTGCTCTTAACTGATACCCAACACATCACAGCCTGTTTCCCAGACCCACCCAGCCACTTAGTAAGGAAGCAGAAGGTGGGGTGGGGCACCAGGCATTGTGGGAACAGCTGGAAGTTCTTGGCTCTGCTGGACTCTAGGAGGCCTGCCCTCCGAGCTCTGCAGTTTCCCACCTGGCCTGCTATGTCATCCAGGCTTGGGCCTGAAATATGCATGGGTATTTTCCATATCAACACAGTGAATGTTCAGAAGCGGTGTCCTCAGCAGCAGGAAACCCTCTGAGTTCGGGAAGGAGACACTGCGGTATGAAGCAGTTAACTTGGTAGTAGCGCCCCTCTTTGACCCCTAAACCATCCGCTTCCTTGAGGCCTCATTGGTCGTCTTTACTTTGTGTCTGGATGAGAGGCATTATGTTTCCTCTTGGATAACTTGAGGGAGGCAGTCAAAGTCCCCCAGATCCAGATGACCACCACTGATAGCATATCCATCCCCAAACGTGAGAGTAATGGGAAAGGGTGGTCATCAAAGAAGCTAGTATGACAACCTGTGCTGTTTTACATATTTGTGGTTTTCTGTATCTGATGTGCTGGGGTGCCTGAAACGAAACCACATTCCAGTTTTTGCACTTAAAGCCATTAACAGCTTGAGACTCCAAACGTGTTTTAAATGTAGCAGTTGGTTCATTTTTACTGGACCTGATGGAGTGTCTCAGTACTCATGTGTTTGATTTCTAAGTGTATCATACCCTTTTCAGTCTGTGAGCCTGTCTTCCTGGGGATCTGTATACAGCCATGAGCATCTGACTGCTTCATTAAGTCTTTATTTTTATAGTTACGCTTAAGATTTACAGATTAAGGTATATTTTTTATTATAAATTTCATTTTACATCTCCTTTACATTACCCTGAGGACATTAAGTAGATCCTTTAAACTTATGTCTGGAACTTCCTGGTGGTCCAGTGGTTGAGAATCTGCCTGCCAGTGCAGGGGACACTGGTTTAATCCATGTTCCGGGAAGATTCCATATGCTGCCAGGCAACTAAATCTGTGTGCTACAACTCCTGAGCCTGTGCGCTAGGGCCTGCGAGCCTCAACTACTGAGCCCTTGTGCTGCAGCTACTGAAGCCTACGTACCTAGAGCCTGTGCTTCACAACAAGAGAAACCACTGCACCGAGAAGCCCACACACCAAAAAGAGTAGCCTCTGTTCACTGCAACTAGAGAAAGCCTGTGCATAGCCAGGAACACCCAGTGCAGCCAAAAAATAAACATAAATTTAAAAAATGAACTTACCTGAGGTAGATTATTTATAATGACCTTAAGACTGTAAAAGTGGGTACATTACATGGTCATCATGAGAAGGGAGTGTTGATCTATTCAGTTGCTCAGTTGCGTCCGACTCTGCGGCCCCATGGACCGCAGTACGCCAGGCCTCCCTGTCTATCACCAACTCCCAGAACTTGCTCAGACTCATGTCCATCAAGTCGGTAATGCCATCCAACCATCTCATCCTCTGTCGTCCCCTTCTCCCACCTTCAATCTTTCCAAGCATCAGGGTCTTTTCAAATGAGTCAGTGCTTCACATCAGGTGGCCAAAGTACTGGAGTTTCAGCTTCAGCATCAGTCCTTCCAATGAATATTCAGGACTGATTTCCTTTAGGATGGACTGGTTGGATCTCCTTGCAGTCCAAGGGACTCTCAAGAGTCTTCTCCAACACCACAGTTCAAAAACATCAATTTTTCAGCATTCAGCTTTCTTATAGTCCAGCTCTCACATCCATACATGACCACTGGAAAAACCAGAGCTTTGACTAGACAGACCTTTGTTGGCAAAGTAATGTCTCTGCTTTTTAATATGCTGTCTAGGTTGGTCATAATTTTTCTTCCAAGGAGCAAACATTTTTTAATATCTTGGCTGCAGTCACCATCTGCAGTGATTTTGGAGCCCCCCAAAATAAAGTCAGCCACTGTTTCCACTGTTTCCCCATCTATTTGCCATGAAGTGATGGGACTGGATGCCACAATCCTAGTTTTCTGAATGTTGAGTTTTAAGCCAGCTTTTTCACTCTTTCACTTTCATCAAGAGGCTCTTTAGTTCTTCACTTTCAGCCATAAGGGTGGTGTCATCTGCATATCTGAGGTTATTGATATTTCTCCCGGCAATCTTGATTCCAGCTTGTGCTTCCTCCAGCCCAGCGTTTCTCATGATGTACTCTGCATATAAGTTAAATAAGCAGGTGACGATATACAGCCTTGACGGACTCCTTTCCCTATTTGGAGCCAGTCTGTGTCGATCACAGCAGACTGGAAATTTCTTAAAGAGATGGGAATACCACACCACCTGACCTGCCTCTTGAGAAATCTGTATGCAGGTCAGGAAGCAACAGTTAGAACTGGACATGGAACAACAGACCGGTTGGTCTGTTAGGGTTGAGAACTTTGTCCTTTTGTTAAGGTTGAAACCCGCAATGAAGTCAACTGGGAGAGCAAAGATCAGAGGCAGCCCAAATTTTGGGGTCACTTGTTCCTGTTCTTACATAGCTTTTTCCTAGCAAAACCCTATTAAGGTTCCATGCAGTTAATTAGCTTTCCAAACCTTTGAGTCGCAGGAAATGGGGTGTCACCATGGGTGTGGATCATATAAGCTATGGAGAATATATACAAGTAAAAGAAGTGACAGTGGAACCATAGTAGATACTTCGACTGGGTTCTAAAGGAAGTGCTGTCCCTGAAGAAATGTTACAACAGAGAGCCCATGGAATCTGAGGAGAATGGGGCCTCATACAGTACCTCATACAGGCAGTGGAGAAGGCACACAGCTGCGGGGTGGTGCTTCTTGTCTCTTAAACGGGCTCCTCAGAGCTGTGGAGCCGTCCCGTCGCACGCCCCTTGTCAGCTCTCACTCATTCCCTGGAGCTGAGTTTCACTGGTGTGTATGTGTGTGTTTTTAATTGAAGGATAATTGCTTTACAGTATTGTGTTGATTCACTGTTCTTATAAAATCATTTCCTCCATCTTACCCCTCAAATTTCAGCAGATGATTGTATTCCTACTTCAGAGTGAAAATCTCACCAGATGGGGAAATGCCCGGTTTCTTGTCTTTCACCTTCAGAATCGCCTACATCCACCCTTTACATGTCTTCGTGTCACAGTGGAAAACGCAGCCTCCTTCCACGGGAGTGTACTTCGTCCACCTGTGTGGTAGGGATCCGCCTCACCTCTTCTCCCAAGTTTTTACTTGTGTCTTCGGCCTCTCCTGGTGGCTGTATGTGATGGAGAATTTTACACGTTAAGGAGACCCGCTCTGAACCTGATGTCTCTTTCTAACCGCCGCTGCTCTTTAACAATTAAGTTTCTTGAGAGGTGTGTACACTTTATTTCTACTTCCTCCCTCATCCACACCTAAATCCTTTGCCACGTGGTTCCTACTGCCAGCCATCCACTGGTGGTTTTCTTCCTAGGTCTACTCTCATAGACAGTAAAGGATGCCCACAGGTCATCAGCTGTGTTGTTTTATAGGGCTGTCATAATGAAGCACACAGACTTTATTCCCTCAGAGTTAAACAACAGAAATTTATCCCCTCAGAGTTCTGGAGACTGGAAGTCCGGGATCAAGGTGCTGGCAAGTTTGGTGTCTCCCGAGGCCGCTCCTTGACTGGCAGACGGCCGCCCTCGCTGTGTCCTCACTCGGCCTTTCTTCTGACCTCGCACCCCTGGTGTCTTCTCCTCGTCTCATAAAGACACCAGTCACATTTGGGCTCCACCCTTACGACTTCACTTAACCTTAATTCTTTTAAGGGCCTAGTACAGTCATATTGGGGTTAAAACTTTAATATATATGAATTTGGGGAGAACGTAATTCAGTCCCATAACACAGTTACCTGAGCCAGAACTTGGGGGTTCATCCTTAATTCCTCCCTACCTCACATCTTATATACCACATCCTGACTATTCTATTTTTGTTGTTTTTTGAACCCATCTTTTTCCCATTTTTCTGCCTCTTCATGTCTTTGAAAATTCATTCATTCAGGGTACTCTGTGGATACCCACTATATGTTAATAGTAGGAAGGTAGCCAAAGAAAAGTTAAAAAATATTAAATTAAGAAAAGTATATGGAAGGAAATGATAAAGATAAGTGCAAAAGTAAATTAACTGGCCAGATCAAAAGTTAGTTTAAGAGGGCTTTTTAAATAATGAAAGAGACATATACCTGGCAAATCTAATTAATAAAAGGCAATATATGAATAAAGAGAACAGTATTTTAAAACTGTAAGATGTTACATCAATCTATTTGAAACTCAATGATAAAGAGAATTTTCTGGAAAATTGACCATAATTCACTCAAGAAATAAAATGCTAGAACTGGCTAAAGACCAAGAAATGAAACTTAAATGCTACTGAAGATGTATCTTTAACAAGGCTCTGAAAGTGAAAGTGAAAGTCTCTCAGTTGTATCCAACTCTTTGTGACCCCATGGACTGTTAGGAGTTCTCCAGGCCAGAATAGTGGAGTGGGTAGCCTTTCCCTTCCCCAGAGGATCTCCCAACCCAGGGATCAGACCCAGGTCTCCTACATTGCAGGTGGATTCTTTACCAGCTGAGCCACCAGGGAAGCCCAGGAATACTGGAGTGGGTAGACTATCCCTTCTCCAGTGGATCTTCCCGACCCAGGAATTGAACTGGGGTCTCCTGCATTGCAGGTGGATTCTTTACCAACTGAGCTATCAGAGAAGCCCCTAACAAGGCTTCTCAAGGCTCAGGGTTCATATTATTTACTGGGTGAATTCTTGTTATTAAATGATTCAATGATTACCTTCATCATCATAGGCTGAACAGGTTTTTGTTAAAAGGAACAGAAAAAAGTTTCTAGGTTAGTTCTATTACCAAAATCTAACAAAGATAGGTGTTTTTTTCCCCTTAGTCTCATTTAATTTATGAATGTAGATGAAAAGAATTCTATAAAATCAGGTATACAATCCTAAACAACCTTTTAGGAATCTACGAGAAGGATGCTTCCTTAACATGATAAAGTACCATATATATTAAGTCCAGGGACCACATTGTCATTTCAGTAAATAAGCCAGGATGTTCCCATTAAACCACTGGTTTTTCTGTGCTGCTGGCCATTGAGAATGAGTTGTGAATCGGAGTGTTCTGCCTGGTTCTGATGGTTCTGGCGGGGAGAGCACCTTCACTCACCTCACAAGTTTCTTGAACACCTGAGGTCTTAAGTGGAACAGGGCCAGGGAGAGGCAATATGGCCTGGTTGGGGAAGCAGCTCTGCAGCAGGCAGTGTGGCTGGCCCCTCTGGCTTCTTCCCTCCTCTGTAAAAGTGTCATGAGAATTACAGGAAGCAAAACCAGATTTCCATGAGCACAGGTGTTAGTGCTGGTTAACTGACTTTCATATTTAGGTTGTAGATGTTTGCATTCCAGTGGGGTCAGGATCAGGAAAAGAAAGTGAAAGTGTTAGTCACTCAGTTCTGTGTCCAGCTCTGCAACCCCACAGACTGTAGCCCACCAGGCTCATCTGTCCATGGAATTCTCCAGGCAAGAATACTGGAGCGGGTTGCCATCCCTTTCTCCAAGGAATCTTCCTGACCCAGGGATTGAACTCAGGTTTTCTGCATTGCAGGCAGAAGTAATACCTAGAAGTGACCAGCAGAGGGCAGCAGTGCATCAGGATGCCAGGGGGATGCTGCTGAAACCTGAAGCTTAGCTGTATATTTTGGACAAAAACAGCCTGGCCCCAGGGGCCTTGGCATCAATGGACTAGGGAAACTTAGAACAAATAATGTGGTTAATTTCCTCTCAAAGTTCAATTATTTGTCTGAAAGTCTATAGGTGGGCTAGGAACGAGACGAGGGTAAAACAGTAGGTCCCAGAGTGTCTGATGGGAGACTCAGGCTGTTGCCAGAATAATGGGATATGTGTGTGAATAAAAATGTACACCCACCTTCCAGAAAGATAGCTGAATAAACTTCACATATGCCATCCTCTCTCTCTGAGCTGACTCGTCCTCTGTCTCATTGAGAAATTGAAGCAGCTTGATAGGCAGGGCCTGGGTGGTCATGTAGGAGTGGGGGGTCCTAGAAGGGGGCCAGCCAGTGGGTACTTCTTTTGCCTCTCCCTGGAAGAAACTGGATGAGCCTCAGGGAGATGCAAAACCCCTGAAATCATATGCAAAATTGTCTATGTACTTACATTTGTGTGCTTGTTGCTCAGTCGTGTCTGACTCTCTGTGACCCCCTGGACTGTAGCCCACCAGGCTGCTCTGTTCATGGAATTCTCCAGGCAAGAATACTAGAGTGGATAGCCATTCCCTCTCCAGGGGATCTTCCTGACCCAGGGATGGAACCCAAGTGTTCTGTACCACAGGCGGATTCTTTACTGTCTGAACCACCAGGGAAACCCTGGTAAAAATCATTCTATTTTTAAATAATTTTAGATTCAGACATAGTTGCAAAAACAGTAGAGAGGCTCTGTGTACCTTTCACCCACTTATCCCCAATGATAGCATCTCATGTAACTTTAATCAGGAAATTGACTTTGGTTCAATTCAGGCCTTATTCCGATTCATGCACGTGTGTGTGTATGTGTGTGTGTGTGTGTGTGTGTGTGCACGCGTGGAAGCTCTGGATCTCCCATCTTTTGGGCTTCGTGTAAAATGTGTACCCGTATTTGTTTAACATCGTTAGTAGAGCTTGAAGCCTTAGCATTCCTAACCATAACATCTAATTACAAGGTACAGAAACCCTCATGCAAACTGGCTCAATTTAAAAAGAAAAGAAAAAAGGAAGGGGGAGGAATATTGGTTCATGTAATAAAATCCAGAGGAATGACCTAACCAGTGCCAGTGGTTCAGGAGGTCATCCGAGAGCTCACTCCTTTTTTCTGCAGTCACCCCTCTCTGTGAACGTCTCAGTTCTGGTTTTATTCTCAGACATCCTCCCTCAAGGTCCCAACAGTGGTTGTGGTGATTCCAGACCTTTCATCGTCATCCCACACCACACAGAAGAAGCGGAAGTGGGGGGTGGGGGGTGAGTCTCATCATTCCTATAGAAGTTGTAGGATTCATTCTGATTGGACTAGCTTGGAATCACACACCTCAACCAATCACAGGGCCAGGAGAATGAGATACATTAGTTGGCTCTTGCCTGGACTCCTAACCCCTCCATGAATGCATGGTGATTGGGATAACTTGTTGGTTTAATCTAATTTCAGATGGGAGGTTGGTTTATTCCACTATGACCAAATGGGACAGGGGAAGTGTCTGAGAAGAAATTCGGGGTGATACTACTAGAGAGTGGGAATAGATGCTGGCGGTAAACCATAGGTGTCCCCCATCTTTGGCATGGAGTCTGTGTCCCTCCCTGATCAAATCAGCTGTGACCGGGAGGACCGGACCATGTAGTACAGACGTGTCTCCTGGGATAGGGGTCAGTTCATGCTTCCGGGGAGTGATTGTTGAACAGATGCCCCAGGAGTTCTCTACTACAGTCGCAGTTTATGTCTAAAACAATGTTGCTGCCCATCTCCCCTCGCCTCAGGACATTAACCCGGTCATGGCTTTTCTAGCCACTCCCACTAGCCTGCTTTAGGTCTTCAGGGGCCCAGGGAGCAGGAGAGGAGATGCTGTGTTTGAAGCAGGACCCTGGGTTTCAGCTGGATATGTTGGGTAGGGCTTGGGATGTATTTAGGTAGGAACCCCCCCACCCCCAGCAGCACACCATGCCCACTGCCTGCCCTTTGTACCTTCCTGCTGTCCAGTGCAGGCATCAGTTTTCTGCTCTCCTCCTCCCTACTCCATGAAGTCCATCCATTCCCAGTGGGCACGGGAAGGTGGGCAAGGTGGCTTCTAGTGTCCGAGGCACTCGGGTTTATGGAAAAGGTCAGCATTTCTCCAGGCATGCTGTTCATACCATTCTAGTTTGTGACTTATTTGTAATAGATACACATCAATTTGTAAACAGTCCTTATTTTGAACATCTTTTTGTGAAATAAAATACAGAAAAAGCTATGAGATAAACATAGAGTTTAATAAAGTTTAATAAGGCAAATATCCCCAGTGTTCTTGTAACCCAAGAGATGGAACATTGCAGCCACCCCAGTAGCTCCTCCATGTTGCCTGTTCCAGTGGTAGCCCTTCTCTGCCATAGCAGGAGGAACCACCACCTATCATTTTCCCTGTGGTCAGGTACTCCTGTCTGTTCTCCCCTGGTATTCTGCAAGCACTTCCGCGTCTGAAGTTGTATTCCTGATGTATCCATGGAGAGAGATGTACTCCACGTCCACCTACTCCCCCACCATCCCCATTTGACTCTTTTTTTCCCCCTTTGACTTTTATTGTAGTCACTTCCTCATGTTTCTTGACAGTTTCATCATCCAAGTGTGCATCTCTCGACTATGGTTCAGTCTTGCCCCCTTAAAAAACCAATATTTTACCTCTTATAATGCACAAGTTCTTCCTTCATTGCTTTCTTTTCCTTTCATTTTACTGCTTGAGGAAACCCAGCCATCTGACTGCAGTGTTTCCCACAGTCTGGATTTTGCTGGATGCCCACTCTTGGGGCAGTTGCTGCCCACTCTTGGGACAGTTCAGTGCATTCCACTGCCCTCTGTGTTTTCTGCCCATGGTCAGCTGGATCTAGAGGCTCCATCAGACCCAGCTTCTGTCCTTTTGACAAGGCTTTATGGGTTCCTGCACCAGCTGCCTCTCTGCTCGATGTACTTAGCCGGGAGGCTCAGGCCCTGGATCCATTACTTCACTGGGGGGGCCAACATGGTGACATACACTCTTTTCACTGTGCTGTGGTTCACATTTTATTGCTTATTAATTTTCTCATTCTACACAAGTTGTAAGTAAATAGGCTTTGAGAAAAATATACTTGAGTTCAACAGATGATGGCAACGTTGATGAGACTGTTCCCGTGTTTTACATAAGGTAATGAAAAGCACTACAGCTGCCACCCCTGCAAAATGATGATGATATTCTAATTCCATCATTTCTTTTTCATTTATTTGCTGGAATTCTTCATAAACAGATGCTTTCTTTCATCTATCATGAGGTTACCCAGTGGTATAGCTCACGGAAGAGAGGCAGGATAAATGCTCCCTTCTTTTCCTGTGTTTTCCAGTTTGCAAAATAATGAACTGGTTCCTTATTATCCTCTGGTGGTGACCATTTCATTTTTTCAATATCGTCATGAACTCATGGATTTAAATAAATTTGGTGAGTTTTTGTGTTGTTGTTAAATTAGCCATCTTAGATTCTTCGCGCCCTCCTGGATTGTCACCTGCGAAGCTCCTCTGTCCCTGGGATTCTCCAGGCATGAATACTGGAATGGGTTGCCATGCCCTCCTCCAAGGGAGCTTGTCAACTCAGGGATTGAACCCACCTCTCTTGTTTGTTGGGCAGATTCTTGGTGGGTGCTTGTGTTTTTTTTTAATGATTTTTTTAATGTGGACCATTTTAAAAATCTTTATTGAATTTGTTATAATTTTGCTTCTGTTTTGTTTTGGATTTTTGGCCACGAGGCACATAGGATCTTAGCTCCCCGCCCAGGGGTCAAACCCACACCCCCTGCATTGGAAGGTGAAGTTGTAATCACTGGACGGACAGGGAAAGTCCCTCCTGTGTTCTTTTGGCACTAGTCCAGTCTACACGTGGCTTATCTATGGTGGCTTATGTGCTGTCATTTATGTCAAGATATTCCAGGCTGCTTTTGTACATTTTCTCCTCAGACCAGCAATCAGTCACTTCTCCACACAGTCCTGACTTTTAGTGGGAAATTGTATTTCCTGACCACAGTGTGGACTCTGGGTATTCTCCGTGCTCCTCAGTGGGTCGTGGTTCCTAGGTCGTTTCAGTGGTTAGAGCTAATAGGTACAGATAGAATGACAGATCAAATACCTTATAAGGCCATGCTGTTATTTTCAATTAAATTTCAGGACTACAGATTTTATATTTAATCTTTAAAAAAAATTACTGCTGTATCTCTTTTCTTCCATACTGAGAATCCTGAGTTTTATGACACAGGGGATAACACTTAAAATATCCCATAATTACTCATTTGTTTCAGGCAACATTACACACACAACAGGGAATACTAATGCTACAATCACCAGGATGATAAGTGAAAATAGTTTTAAAGTTCTCACCCCCATTATAGCTATTGAATATCTACATCAATTGAGTCTATAGCCTCTAATACCATATTCTCTTCTTTTTATCTTTTGTTTTTTATTGAAACATAGTTGGCATGGGCTTCCCAGGTGACACAGGTAGGTAAAGAACCTACCTGCCAGTGCAGGAGACATAAGAGACAGGGGTTCGATCCCTGGGTTGGGAAGCTCCCCTGGAGGAGGGCATGGCAACCCACTCCAGTATTCGTGCCCGGAGAATCCCATGGACAGAGTCTGGTGAGCTATAGTCCATGAGGTCACAAAGAGTTAGACACGGCTGAAGCAACTTAGCAGGCATGCACACATACCTGACGTACAATATTACATTAGGTCAGGTGTACTACGTAGCAATTTGACATTTGCATACATTTAAAAATGATCACCACAGTAAATCTGGTAACCATCTGTCCCCATAAAGTTCTTAGAGTATTACTGACCATATTCCTTATGCTGTGGACTACATCCCTGTGACTTACTTATTGTTTAATTGGAGATTTATATCTCTTAATCCCTGTTGTCTATTTTCCCCCACCTCTTCCTTCTGGCAACCACCTGTTTGTTCTCTGTGTCCAAGAGTCTGTTTTTGTTTTGTCTATTTGTTTTGTTTTTTAGAGTCCACATTTATATTCTCTTCCTTTTACTTCTCATATTGTTTTGGTACTCCAAGTAATGTATTTAATGCTCTCTACTAGTTTTTATGCTTTCTTATGCTGATGTGTCTAGTAATTTTGGCAGCCTGAGGCTTGTTTTCCAGCAAATTATTCAGGAAGGGTTCTTAGGAACAATGTTCCCTGAGTTCTTGTATGCTGATAACAGTTTGTACCTTTTATACTTGATAGTTTTCCTGGATATAAAGTCAGTTTTCCTTGGCTTACTCTTTCACCCCCTTAGATAGGTCATACCCTTTTCTTCTGGTGCAAAGCAGTGTTGTTCAAAAGTCTGATGATAATCTAATTTTCATTTTCTCATAAGTCACTTATTCCTTTCCCCATGGATGTCTAAAGGATTTTTCCCCTTTAATATCCAGTATTTACTGAGATGACACTGAAAGATGAACTCCCCAGGTCAGTAGGAGCCCAATATGCTACTGGAGAAGAGCAGAGAAATAGCTCCAGAAGGAACGAAGGGGCTGAGTCAAAGTGAAAACAACGCCCAGTTGTGGACGTGACTGGTGATGGAAGTAAAGTCCGATGCTGTAAAGATTTATGTTAGGTCCATGAATCATGGTAAATTGGAAGTGGTCAAACAGGAGATGGCAAGAGTGAACATCGACCTTTTAGAAATCAGTGAACTAAAATGCACCTGAGTGGGTGAATTTAATGCAGATGACCATTATGTGGGCAAGAATTCCTTTGCAGAAATGGAGTAGCCCTCATAGTCAACAAAAGAATCAATGCAATACTGTCATAATCCCAGCTGGCTTCTTTGTAGGAACTGACAAACCTTAAAATTCATATGAAAACTCAAGAACTTTAAAACAATCTTCAAAAAGAAGAAAGTTGGGGGATTTCTCAATTTCAAAATTTAATGGAACAATGATTAAGACGGTGTGGTAGTGGCTTAAGAATAGACATGTAGATCAATGGAATAGAATTTAAAGTCCACAAATAAACCTCACATTTTCAGTCAATTGATTTTTTTACCAGGTTGCCAAGACAAGTCAGTGTCTTTAACCAATGGTGCTGGGACAATTGGAAATTGAAGTACAAAAATTCAAAGTTATAAACTCACAGCACACCAGATACAAAATTAGCCCCAAGTGAATCATGGACTTAAATATGAGCTAAAACTGTAAAATTCTTAGGAAAAAATCCATAGGAATAAATTTTCATCACCTTTTTTGGTAATGGCTTCTTAGATATGACACCAAAAGCATAAGAAACCAAGAAAAAAAAAGGTAAATTGGACCTCTGCAAAAGCTTTTGTCCTTCAAAAGACACCAACAAGAAAATTAAAAGACAACCCACTGAACAAAAGAAAAGATTTACAAATTATATATCTGCTAGGGGACTATATAAAGAACTCTTATAGCTCAGTAATTAAAAGACAGTACAATTGCGGTATAGTAAGAAAGATGTTTGGTCCTAGTTCTGGCACAGAGCTCCTAAAGCCTTTGAAATTTCCCAAGTGATAAGGGTAATAGGAACACTTTTTATTTATTTATTTTTAAATTTTTTTCATTTATTTTTATTAGTTGGAGGCTAATTATTTTACAACATTGTAGTGGTTTTTGTCATACATTGAAATGAATTAGCCATGGATTTACATGTATTCCCCATCCCGGTCCCCCCTCCCACCTCCCTCTCCACCTGATCCCTCTGGGTCTTCCCAGTGTACCAGGCCCGAGCACTTGTCTCATGCATCCAACCTGGGCTGGTGATCTGTTTCACCCTAGATAATATACATGTTTCGATGCTGTTCTCTTGAAACATCCCACCCTCGCCTTCTCCCACAGAGTCCACAAGTCTGTTCTATACATCTGAGTCTCTTTTTCTGTTTTGCATATCGGGTTATCATTACCATCTTTCTAAATTCCATATATATGTGTTAGTATACTGTAATGGTCTTTATCTTTCGGGCTTACTTCGCTCTGTGTAATGGGCTCCAGTTTCATCCATCTCATTAGAACTGATTCAAATGAATTCTTTTTAATGGCTGAGTAATATTCCATGGTGTATATGTACCACAGCTTCCTCATCCATTCGTCTGCTGATGGGCATCTAGGTTGCTTCCAT